TAACTCCTTCATTGCATTCAAACATTTCCTCTGCCAAAAATATCCTCAAATATCTTGCACCCTAGAGGCAAGCTAAGCTTCCCTGAAAACATAAAGTATCTCCACGCAAAGTTTGGCAAAGTAATTCTTGCTACACACGAAGCCGTAGCAATTGTAATGCTGAGTCAAGGTAACAACAAGAAAAATTGCATTTTCGTTTACTTTTTCTCGAATATTTGGATGAACGCTACAATTTCGAGACGTTCTCCTCTTATATTGGTGTCGTTGCAGATGCACGCTATTCGGCTGAACCGGATTGCTTGGCCAACGCAAATCCGTGGGCTGCATATTAGTTCATGTTGGCAGGTACATAGAGATTGCTAGATTTTCCTCGTTGAAATCAGGATTTATTCAGGCGAACGTTCCTATGAGCAAGTTTGACAAAGAAGCATATTTACCATACGAGAAGCTGGCACACAACTTGAAGATCATCAGAGATCGGTCGGTGACTATTTACTAGTTTATAACTCTGCTGACTTCCCAACAGTCGGCTACCAGAAATGGTTTGCGTCCCTCCTGCAATTAGGGAAGAAAACATTGGAATCTGCGGTCCCGAGATTGTGAGCCTGAAAATCGGACGTTGATAGATCCTCAACTCATGTTCTACTGCGCCATGCCATCGAGTCCAGAGTCAAATGTTGCAGAGCGGAATCGCTATATCGTTCTTGGACCGAGCATTCCCCGCTTTCAAGTCAACCTACGTATCGAAATGTTCGTCACCACATTCTACAGCTATATAGTGAGATGCATAGCCATCAGCAGGAAACTTACCCCCTGGGTTTCACCTTGGTGGGACTCTGGGTCTCTCGATCTGACCTCTGAAGTCTTGACAGTAATTGTTATGCGTTTCGAAGCCCTGAGGTCGTGCGTTTCAAAGATCTTTTGCTTTTAATCTCAGTTGAATACAACAAACAGAAGGCGGAATGAAAGAGTGGCGAGATCAATGGAGATTAACGACAAACTTTGAACATCATCTTCGAGCTTTGGATAAATAGACTTAATTACCCCTCCCATGATGTGCTGCTGTTTGTTTCATATAATATGATGATGAAATACTGGCCCTCACTCACTGTTTTACGGCAATGTGTTCAAAGTGGAAATTCAAGTTCCGATTTCGGTGAGTAACTTTCTTGAACTAAAAAGATGTGATCCCTTCTTTAGCACTTGATTTGAGAAGTGGAGCAAAGGTTGTTCTGTGGATGTTATGTGTTTACTCAACGTTCTGCTTCTCTACTTTTATAGTTCAAACTGCCACATTGCCAGGTTCTGATAAGCGCGACCTATGAGCTCACAGAAATATTCTTCTTTCCCGGCCTCAGTTTTATTTCGAGGCATGCCATCCTCGGTGATCTTTACGTGCTTTACTGCCTTAAAGTCCTAGGTAGTTCGATGCTGGGCTGTGGATAGCCGGGACTTGAATTTCTACTCTTCTTGACTGTCGCAGAAGATATGTGGACCCATGGGATCTCAAAAGGTGTTACAATTTCGGTCGTGTGAGGTACATATTTCAAGGGACTTGTAGTTCAAGTTCTTTTTCTTGTGCTGTGGGTGAACATAGGCAGTGTGAGTTTTTCTCTCTTCAGAACCTTTCAATGCAAAATTTGTCGTTTCAACTGATTTTTGCTGTGAGTTTTTGCTGCTTGGTTGCCCAAGTAGTCAACCCAACTCCGGCAGTGATAGGATTCGATACAGGACTCACATTTGTTCTAAGCTTTATTGGTTTTAAGCACCAACATATGCTGAACTCGAAATCGCGAATGTGTTTCCAAACGCAGTTAATCGCAAGTGTTTCTTTACGATTCCCTTGACTCTCTTATTCCTTGAGCTTGTGATAAAACAAGAAGCCATCTTCAATGACTCTATGATAATTCTTTTTACTCTATTTTTTCAGTTTGAAGCGACCGTTGACCCTTTCCGAAAAGATCCTCTACAGCCATTTGGATCAACCAGCAGCTGAAAGTATTGAACGCGGGGTGTCCTATTTGCGGCTACGTCCGGATCGTGTAGCTATGCAAGACGCCACAGCTCAGATGGCTGTGCTTCAATTCATCTCGTCAGGATTGCCCAAGGTGATGCCAAATGTTACGAGAGCGTTTTTGAGTTCTTGTTAAGAGCGTGCAGTTGGCCAGAATATGCCAGAATATCGACGGTCAGTGTATGCATAGATGAAAGCAGATTTCGCAGACTGCCGTGCCGACCACGATTCACTGTGACCATTTGATTCAAGCACAGAAAGGAAGTACTGATGATTTGGCTAGAGCAAAGGTCAGTGGACTGTCAATACCATAAATAATGTCCTTGGTGTAGTAAGGTCGTCTCTCTTACCCATACTTTTAGAACCTCCACAATGAAGTATTCGATTTTCTTTCATCAGCAGGCAGCAAGTACGGCATGGGGTTTTGGAAACCCGGGTCCGGGATTATTCATCAAATATTTCTGGAGAACTACGCCTTCCCTGGGCTTTTGCTTGTCGGAACCGATTCACATACTCCGAATGGAGGTAAATCGTTGTTTTGCGCCTTTTTTACACCATTTTACAGTTCATACTTGTAATGTAGGCGGCCTGGCTGGTCTCTGTATTGGAGTAGGTGGAGCGGATGCGGTAGACGTGATGGCTAATATACCATGGGAGCTGAAATGCCCTAAAGTGATAGGGATCCGACTAAGCGGCGAACTATCTGGATGGACTTCGGCCAAGGACATCATTCTTAAGGTAAAGTGTTTCGAATTCAACAGCTTGGAGACAATACTCTGAAACCTTCTCTTTAGGTCTGCGAAATTCTGACTGTGAAAGGAGGTACTGGATCCATTATTGAGTACTTCGGTCCTGGAGTTGAGTCAATTTCTGCCACTGGAATGGGGACTATCTGTAACATGGGAGCTGAAATTGGAGCAACCACATCAGTATTCCCCTATAACGAAAGCATGAGGAATTATCTTATGGTGAGTTCGTATGGGATTCGAAGGCACAGTTCATGATAATTTTGAAGTATCCTTTTTAGGTTTAATAGGTTTGAAAGCGGAATTGTTGATGTCGAGGAATTCATCGGTAGCTGAGAAATAAAAAGAATCCGCCTTTTGCAAGGCTTTTCAGAAGTTGTGGAAGTGGAGGTTGATCGCCGTGACGAGAATGGCATGTAAAGGGTGTTTGCACGACATTTAACTCGCTCCCGTTACTTAAAGAGATGACTATATCAAGCCGAAATTCTCCGAACTTGCTCTCTCTGCCACCATGGATTATTGCAAGTTGTTTGATCTCCCTATATGGAGGCCCCTTTAGATAAGGCAGCTTCTACAAAACCGTTGGAATTCGTCCACTATAGGTGTGGCATTCAAACAATACAATCTCTGTCCCCTTATTGTGCCCTATCCAGGACGTTTTTCGACATTTTAACGGCTGGTAGGGTATAGGGGGAGCTTCGAATTCATACTATAGGGAATTCTCAGAAGCCATTTTTATCGTAATCTGTGCCTTTGTTGACTCAATCATACTTTGCCGATCTATTTGTTGTAGGCATAGTCGCTTGATATTTCGTTCACGTGCACTTTGCCTTTCTACCTGCTTGTCTGTTGCTACTTGTAAGCAGTTAGTACATTAGAATAGGCTGTAAGGGTGCTGTGATTGCATTAGTTGCTTTAGGAAGTCAGATCCCCTTCCGTACTACACCATGCTCATGGCTGGTTGCCTTTCCACACTTCAACTCGGCAGAACAACTAGGCAGTTCTCTTGGTTTCGGAATAAAAAATCCCCAGAAGGAAGTAGTCCGAAGTTGGTTCAAAACCCAAAAATCGTATTGAACGTGATGCCCTTTTTGTTGCAGGCAACTGATCGCGAGTCAATCGCCAACGAAGCCGAGAAATACAGGGATATTCTCGTTGCAGACGAAGAAGCTCACTACGACAGAGTCCGTCACTGACAGCTTCTGAATGCTTTGAAACAGCTCCATTGATTTTCTGTTCCTTTCAGATCATCGACCTCGATTTGGACACTCTTACTCCTCATGTCACTGGCCCCTATACTCCTGATCTTGCTTCTTCAATTGACAAGCTTGGCGAGAACGCGAAAGAAAACGGATGGCCACTTGACATCAGGGTCTGCCTGATCGGATCATGCACGAATTCCTCATATGAAGACATGACGAGGGCCGCGTCCATCGCTAAACAGGTAAGGGCTGAAACCAATTCTATAATGTGCTACCTGCTCTTTATCTTGATTTTGAGTCTTCTTTGGCCAGCCAAGTTGTCTAGCGAAGTTTATTTTTGGTGGTCTGGTTTGACATTGGTTAATCTAACCAGCTATTCGGATGCACAAAACCATCAGTGGCATGAGGGTTGACGAGACAAGTGGCAAATTATGAACGACAAGTAAACCGTCAGTCATTGAGGAGCTCTTCATGAAAACCAGATGGCTGAGGTTGATCATCAAAATGACATTGGCATTTGCAAAGCTCTTCTCAGATCTTCATTTTTTAGATGTTCATGAACCATTCATCGAACCCGAACATAATACACTTCATTTTGCAGGCTCTTGACAAAGGCATGAAAGCTAAAATCCCGCTTACTGTGACACCGGGATCAGAACAAGTCCGCGCTACTTTTGCAGGCTCTTGACAAAGGCCTGAAGGCTAAAATCCCGCTTACTGTGACACCGGGATCAGAACAAGTCCGCGCTACACTGTGACACCGGGATCAGAACAAGTCCGCGCTACCTTCGAAAGAGACGGTTTTTCGAAAATCTTTGAGGAATTCGGAGGAGTTGTTTTAGCTAATGCTTGTGGACCATGTATAGGTAAGTTTAGGCTGCCGAGCAACTTATTAACAGGTGCCTTCATAAGGTTTAACTTTATGCCCAGCTGTGCCTACCTACGGAAGCATTCAATCTTATATATTTGAGTTCTGTCAGTGCTGTAGGGCAATGGGACCGAAAAGATGTAAAGATGGGCGAGAAGAACACTATCGTAACTTCTTTCAACCGGAATTTCACTGGAAGAAACGACGCAAATCGTCGTAGCAATGGCCATTACTGGAAGGCTCGATTTCAACCCTCTAAAAGACGAGTTGACTGCATCTGACGGTATGCTCATTTCTCGCACTCTTACAAAAGTCATTGTCATTCTGACAATCACAGGGTCGAAGTTTATGCTTCAACCTCCAAAAGGAGACTTTCTCCCTGAGAAAGGATTCGATCCAGGTGTGGACACTTACCAAGCACCTACAGGATCCGGAGAGGTGAACGAGGGTTCTCTTCGCTCAGTCTTGTTCTTCTACTCTTCGAACATTTAGGTTGCCGTCGATCCTAAATCGGAACGTTTGCAAATTCTTGAACCATTCGACAAATGGGATGGAAAAGATCTGGAGGACATGCTCATTCTCATCAAAGAAAAGATCTGGAGGACATGCTCATTCTCATCAAAGTCAAAGGGAAGTGCACGACTGATCACATCTCTGCTGCTGGACCGTGGTTGAAGTATCGAGGTCATCTCGACAACATTTCTAACAACATGTTTCTGACAGCCATGAATGCCGAAAACGGAGAGATGAACAAGGTGAGATCAACTTCTGGCTGAAAATACTTTTTGGTTTTTTGTTCTTTTCTGCTTTAGGTAAGTACTGCTTTCCGCTCATATCCAGCGATATTACCCTTGAAGGCACCGTTTACGATGAATTCAGGGTACCCTTTTTTGACGGGATTTAATAGAACTACTCTAGAATAAAGCGATAACAACGAAAAAAGCGCAGAAAACGATGAACAAAAAGAGATAGAAAGGGTCAAAAAAGAGCTCGAAAGGGGGGTTGGACGAGTTCACATTGGAAGAACGGGGTTAAGGGAGTGTTCGGGCGAGTGCACGAAGGCGACGCAGTGCTGCAATAGCAGACAACATACCCAATTTGCCTGACAATCTGACTGGCAGACTCTGGCAATTTGCCAACCACCTTCTCGATTTTTCACCAAGTT